CGGCAGTAAGGCCTCTAAATGGGAAACCAGAGCTTTTGAGGAGGCTGGAACCACCTCTTAATTCCTGTTGTTCCCAGGTCCACTCTGATTTAAGGTGTTGCAGTTTTTTGTGTATAATATGTACTAGTGAGTTAGCCCAAATGACTTAACTCACTTTATAGTCCACCAATAGAAGGTTGACCAATCAGAAGACGTAGAATATTCAATCCGTCGTTTATAAAGGTGGCCATTTTGTTTACTCTCTCCGAATGTCCAGCTTGTCAGGCGAAGAGGAACAGAAGGACGAACTACGCTCTGCTACTTTTACCAAAATATCCACTGCTAACCTGAACAACGCCTTCCTACTGTCTTCGAACTATTCACTGGTAACCCCTGGATTCTATACTCGAAGACGACCGTCATCATGAACAACACAGGGTGCTAAAACCTGTTAGGGTCCCAGCTATGAGTAAATACTGAACCCTAAAACAAAAATAAAATAATATGAATTATTTACACTGTTCGGATTGTTGTCCTCATCTTTATTGCCATATTCACGACGTTTCAGCCGTTGTATACTCCGGCTTTCTTCATATGATTGGAATTTCGCCCTGAACCCTTCATTTCGTCCACCGGGGTAGATTGTTCTAGTTCCACGTGCCATGCCGTTTCCGGGTGTCTTAGTTATCTCCCTTTAACACAACTCTCCAAGATTTTGTTCACTACTGCAGTAACCAGATATTGAACTCAAAACTCGTGTATAATTTTTGCGGAAATTCATACACTGATCTCCTCAAGAACACACGGCCCAGTAGATAAAAGTGCTGGTTGGATCCAGTGACTTGATCCGAAGAGTTGTGAGTTCAATACCTGGATACAGTAGTGGCGAACAAAAAATTTCAGTTGAGTTAAAGGGTGATAAACGAGGCATACGGAAGAGGCATGATACGTGGAACTAGAACAATCTACCCAAGTGGACGAAATAAAGGGTTCAGTTTGACATTTCAATCACCTTGAGAATGTCGGATAAATTTTTATAGTAAAATTACCAGTAATAAATTTTTATATAAAAAAATTACAAACAGTACCTATTTATAACAAAATAACAAGCAATACAATTTTATAGTAAAATTACTAACAATATATTCTATAGCAAAATGACTAACAATACATTTTATCTGTTGTTGAAGGCATACAATTACATCCAGAATATATTTAGTTGAAGCCATAAAATTGTGTTAAAAATATTTAGATTTCGGCATTAAATAACCCATACAGATGTTGATATACCACCAAACTGTCGTATAAGAGCAAATGCCGTTGCCGACACTGTGGTTTAAAATTAGATCGCCAGTGAATAACACGGTCGATTGCATTATCACGTGATCATAACGGAAGTGAATAAACAGAAAGTAGCGTGATGACCATACGGTTACTGTCCACTCTTCTTGTCTCTCCACTCTTGCTATATGTTCTCTCTCTCTCTACTACTATACGGATTACGATTCTCTTCTGATCATTATACTATTTGGCGATTACTACTTGAACAAGTATTACTAGTGCAGATATTATTATAAGACGTTGCTACTAGTACCAGCATCTATGAAGTCTCGACTACCACGAGCATTTTTGGAAGTGGTAACGAGATTTCGCTTGACATAGCAAACGTGAAAACCGAAACCGCTCAAGACCACAAAACAAACAAAATCAACGAACCAAACAAGCAACATGAAAGAACTTTCATGACATTAATCCATATATTATCCAAGAATTTCTTAAATCAAACTGAATTCCAAAATATAACTTCAATAAAACTATAACATAAAACACACATATCTCTAGTAATTAAATCCACGCAAACAAGTATATTCATAAAAGCTGAGTATCATCTACCATGTATTCGATTGTGAAAGCAGAATAACATATGTCATATTTTTATTACTTAAAAGCTCCCAAGAAAATTAAATTTTTGGCATCAAAAGACCCATAAGGTGTTGATATGCCGTTAAACAAACAAATAAAATAAAAATCACGCTTGTGGAAATCTCTTCCGTCTTCTTTCTTCTCAGTCAACTTTCATCTTCGAAAATTCAAATGCAATGTCAATCGTTATCTTCTGTTTTCTTAATTCTTATAAAATGACTAGAGGTAGAGCCCGGAGTTGCCCAGGGATGTAGCATTAAGAGATAGATCAAGTATCGACCATTATAAAGACTGAAAAATAAAATTGACAAAGATTATTGTTTAAGGTTGACGGACACGCATGTCTTAATTAGTTTTTTTTTTTTTACGAATTGGTCAAACCCAAACTCAAACAAAAACATTTCAATTGTTATGAGTCTATCGATTGAACAGAATTTTATTATAAACAATTGTCTTGTAAATAGAATTTTTAAAGCATTCTGAATGTAAAAATAAAGAAAAAAGTGTGCAAGACAATAAGAAACACTACCCAAAAAAAAAAAGTGAAGTTTTGTTGAAATCGGTTGAAAAATGTAGGAAATCCGATCCCATATATAACACACACACACACACACACACACACACACACAACCTGGGTTTTATATAACTCGATATGAGTTGTCCCTCTTTCATTCTGGCGACAGAATCGTGCTTTCAAATTGATTTCGTGCAAAAACAATTGTGTTTTTCCAATTTTTGGCGCTGTTAGAACCACCGCAAGGTAATTTTACGTAGTCCTGTGAAGTTTTGTTGAAATCGGTTGAAAAATGTAGGAAATCCGATCCAATATATAAACGTACAGACACACACACACACACACACACACAATCTGCGTTTTATAATAAGTAAGATGTACAAAATATCTGTAGTTAAAAGCATAAAATTACGTACGTTAGATGTCGGCATTAAATAACCCCTAGAGATGTTGATATGCCGTCAAAAAAAAAAAAAAATCAACCAAACAAACAACGAACATGAAAGAAAACTTTCATGGCATTACTCCATATAATATCCTTAAAGAAATCAAACTATATTCCAAAATATAACTTCAACAAAACTTCAACATAAAACATGCATATCACCACCTGTAGTAATCATGTCCACACAAACATGTATATACACAAAAAGCAGAGTATCATCTACCATTTATTCAAGTGTGAAAGCAGAATAACATAGATCATATTTTTATTGCTTCAAAGTTCCCATGAAAATTAAGTTACGGTAGTAAAAGACCCACAAGCATGTTGATTTGCTGTTAAACAAACAGGTCAAATCAAATCACTAAGCGTTGGTTCTGGGGTTTTGGTGGAAAGTAGGTTTTTACAGAGTTACTAACCCTACGCCAAACCGGTTTTCAATTTGTCCTTCTCCTAGATTGGTTGCCAACTAAAACTAGAGATTAACCCCAAGCTGAGCAGGGACGGAGAAGAGATGGATTAATACTGCACCAAGGGTGTTGGTGTGAAAGTGAACGCAACGGCCCCCGGCTGGAATCTAAACTCTAAATCATTCCAATTCCACTTACTACGCTGATAACCGCTACGCTATCATCATCATCATCATGATCATCATCATCATGTGTTTCCTG